AGTAGAAATTACTCAATGAGATGAAAAGGATATATACAGAATCTAAGATTTGGCATAATTAGCCCAAGCATTTCAAAAATTGTGTTCAGTAGAATAATAGCATTCTTTGTAAATAATATCTCTGATACAAAACAAAGATAAAGAGTGGCAGAAATGATACCCTTCGAAAACTTTTTTTAACTTAAATTTAAGAAAACAGCAAATATACTTAAGCCATTGTTCATGTCATTTTTGAAATGGTCTCTCTGTGGTAATTTATTGTGCTATAAATATAAACAAAAACATTATTTTTAATGTAAATACATATTTTTTTAACTCAAACTCTTTTTTTTTTTTTTAATTTTTTTTTCAACGTTTATTTATTTTTGGGACAGAGAGAGACAGAGCATGAACGGGCGAGGGGCAGAGAGAGAGGGAGACACAGAATCGGAAACAGGTTCCAGGCTCTGAGCCATCAGCCCAGAGCCCGACGCGGGGCTCGAACTCACGGACCACGAGATCGTGACCTGGCTGAAGTCGGACGCTTAACCGACTGCGCCACCCAGGCGCCCCAACTCAAACTCTTATTGTCATTCACAAATAAAATTGTCTTTGTAAATTTGGAGAAAAAAATATGATTAGAAGGAATCTGGCCTAAAAGTATTAAGTAAACTATCAATTTCTAGTAAATAAAACAATTTACAATAGTGTAAGAATCAACAATCGTTAATGAAAAAGTACAACCAGTCCAGGAGTTCATGTAGATTTATAGGGGTATTTGGAATATGGTGAAGGTGACAGCAAAGGTTAGACTGTTTAATAAATGTTGTTGGGAAATTAATATCAATTTGGGAAAATATGTCTTTTCATCTCTGCCTCACACCAATTCAATTCCACAGAAGATGAAAAGATTTATGGCAAAAAATATATATACTTTCCAAAAGATAAGGATAATGAGTATCTGTACACTTTGGGGGTGAAATAGGTCTTTCTACATATAATAAAATTTAAGATGACATTAAAGTCTTAAGGACAGAATAGATTTTATGCGAACTGAGCCAGTGTTAGGGAGTAGACACTGAAACAGAATCTCCTGGAATGAAGAAAAACAAGGTCTTAGAGCAGTCTGTAAAAAATAATGAAAAGTAAGTATAAAAACAATAGTGATAGTTATTCCATGAGAGAGTTAAGAGCAAAGGAAACAAGTATGAAATATCTAATTGCTGGAAGAAGGTTCACCCAAATAAATACTTGGGTTAACAGAACAAAAGAGCAGGCAGAATTGATAAAACCTGGTAACGTACATAGGTAACTACTGGCAAGCTCATGATCTTCTTACTTCCACAAATGTATCAACCAGCCATTACAAAGCAGTCTCTCTAGGGGCACCTTGGTGTGTCAGTGGGTTAAGTCTCCAACTTCAGTTCAGGTCATGATCTCACAGTCTGTGAGTTTGAACCCAGCATCGGGCTCTGTGCTCAGAGCCTGGAGCCTGCTTTGGATTCTGTCTCCTTCTGTTGTGCTTCCCCTCCTCTCTGTCTCTCTCTCTCTCTCTCAAAAATAAACATTAAAAAAAAAAAAAAAAAAAAAAAAAAAAAAAAAAGCAATTTCTCTACATACAGTGTGGTACTCTGGATTGAAGCCTAGATCACAAAATGGAAATTATTGGAAAAACTGTTGAAATTCTAATAAAATCTGAAGTTTGGTTAATAGCAACATGCCAACAGCAATTTCTTAGTTTTGATAATTATGCCATGGTTCTGTAAGACACTAACATTATAACTCCAGATCAAGGGGATACAGATGTGAAACTTTATTCTAAGTCCAAAATTATTCAAAAACAATAGGTGAGCTAAAATAATACAATAAGTTTCTCAAAAATGGTGCCTTGAGTACTATCTTAAAATTTCTAAGTAAAGAAATGTATTGCATAAAGTCAAATTTTTAAAAGGGCATGCTTTGCATTAAAGACTTTGATTATAACAAGTTCATTGATGATTTAAAAGAAAGAGCTGACTCATTATATGTTTTTTTTTTTCAAAATACTTACTAAACTTTTCCATACCATTTTCCCTTTCATGTGGATAAAAATACAGAATACTGTAAATAGTAGTCTTTAAATAAAGTGATGTGGTTGTGATGAACTGCCTTCTGCTTTTGCTGTAGACATGACAAAGTTCTGGGCTTGTAACAGCAACAGTTAAATTTAGAGGATGAATAGAAGTGCCTGACTTTAGGAGCTGTCAGATACTGAAAGAATCAGGACTTCAGAAATAAATGAATCCTACGAGGAAAAAAGCTCAAGCATGTAATTAAGTAGAAAACCAGACTTAAGAGGAGAAAAACCTTGAGAAAAAGGGAAAAGAAACAAAATAAAGGACACTAATGAAAATCAGGGCTTATGGTGTCTCTAAGATTGCGATAAATCATAGAAGGTGGGGGGGGGGAAACAGTGATATAAATAGTAGTAAATCACATCATGTCACTGCATCACACAAAGCCTTCCAATGGCTCCTATCACTCAGACCATCAGCCAGAGAACCCTGGGGACCCTGATGACTTACCATTCTGTCCCCAAACACACCTCTGACTTTATCTTCTACTATTCACTCTCTCCCTCACTCCTCTCCAGATAGTCTGTCTCCATGTTCTTCCTCGGGCACCCCAAGTCTTTGCACCTGTTCATCTCCCAACATAAAATGATCCTCCCCCAGATAGTACCATTATTCACTCCTTTGTGTCCTTCAAGTTTTGCTCAATTACTAACTTTTCAGTAGTAACTAACTTCACTACTATGAAACTGTATTTAAAATAGTGATTTCCTAGAACTCCCAATCTTTCCTACCCTCATCTTATTTTCTCATAGCTGCTTCCACCATCTATCACTCTAAAAACATTCAATGTCTGTCTCCACAAACCCTAGAATGTAAGCTCTCAGATTTTTGGCTGTTTTTTTTTTCTTCCACTGATGTTTCCCCAGTGCCTAGAACAGTGCTGGGCACATAATAAGTGCTCAATAAATATGTGTTAAATCAGTCAACACATAAGTGTGATTTTTCTTTTTAAAAATTTTTTTTATTTTTAATGTTTATTCATTTTTGAGAGAGAGACAGAGAGACAGAGTGCGAGCCGGGGAAGGGCAGAGAGAGAGGGAGACACAGAATCTGAAGCAGGCTCCAGGCTCTGAGCTGTCAGCACAGAGCCTGACGTGGGGCTCGAACCCAAGAACTGTGAGATCATGACCTGAGCCGAAGTCAGGCACTTAACCGACTGAGCCACCCAGGCGCCCCAAGTGTGATTTTTCATTACCGTAATTAAAATATGAGTAATAAAATACTAGAAACATCTCCAACGTTGTTTTCTGAGCAATGAGAGTAATTTTTTTGTCTCCCTGCATTTTCTGGGTATTTTCTACCCTGAACAATTACTTGCACAATATTTCAAAAGGGGCTTTTATCTTTTTAAAGACTAGTGAGTTATCTGCCGGAGATTATTTCAACTGACGTTCATTCATTGGCAATCAGAAAGATACATTCTTCAGAGGCATGTTCTTATGAGCTTAAATAACATTTAGCTATTACCAGGAAAAGCTCCTCATCATAAAAACTTTACATAAATACTCAGTAACATGATCCACTAAGCTAATGGAACCATAAAATCCCAACCTCCTCATTTTGAAGATGAAAAAACAGAGAGCTAGAAAAGTTGTCACTTCTTTCCATTCAGTTAGGACACAGCTGATGACATGTACAACAGGAGCTAGCCTGAGACAAAAGACTGAAACACTGCAGAATGGCCTAGCCCATACACATTTCCCAATACAGTCCAGCCCCAAAGTCCAGACTGGACATTCTCAGTTTACTATTTGACTAAACCTTCACCTTCTCCAGTTTACTTCCTTTTCATTGTGCAAAGATGCTTGTGAGCAGTTGTTTCTTATCATTTGGACACTCAAGATTCTCTTTGCATTAAGATCACCAGAAGAGCAAACAGTTGATCACTTAAGGATTTTAGCACACTCAAAGGCCACTGCACCATTCCAGAATCCACTCAACATTCCGCCTCTTGCTCCAGACCTTTGCCTTCCCTGATAGAAGGGAGAGTCCAGCAGATTTTACAAATTTCTTATTTTTTTCGGTGGATGGATTGTCAATTAGCACTCAAAATCCAACAGACACAGACTGCAAGGTCTAAAAATGTACCACTTCTCTTTTTTATAAAAGATAATTCTTGTACTGAAAAACTGCACCTGTGCCATTGTTTTGTCATAAGTGAGAAAAAAAAAATCTGCTGTTCTAGTTTTTGCTTAGAGGTAGCAACAGCAGGTAATCCACACACGTGCATACTCTGGGTCCCCAGACAGTCATCTCTGATGTTAGAGTGGCACACAGGCAGATACTGTGGCAAAGAGAGTCTATAAAATGAAGTTGCTATGGACCAAAACAACATATTGATTTTTTAGTACAATTCAAAACACAAGGAAACATCAGTTCTCTGAACAGCACACACTGGAAAAGACAGGGAGAAATATACCACTGTGGCGCACAGAAGGAAAAGGACAGATGATAGTCACATTAGCAAACATCCTAGTGTTCTTTTCGATTGTTTGTTTCTAAGTTCAAAGAACTGAGAGGCTTAAATTATGTCGAACTGTTCTTATCTGAAAACCCAAGATTGCTCATTTGCCAACACTGTGCTCACAGCTGGAAGCCTGGGTCTTCCGGAAATAAAGCCGTATAACCCTCTGAATGTTGGAACATCCTCTTCCATGTCCAAATACTTATTTCTTTTTCTCAGTTAATACAGTCTCCCTCCTTCCCCACCCCCGCCCTCCCTCTGTCATTCTCTGTAAATGGCACAACTGTCCAAACTGCATTATGAACACATTATTTACCAATACATCATTAAGTCTGCTGCAAGCAAATATTTTTCTTAGATAGCCTTAATGCCACAAAATGCCTTTCAAGCCAGAAATCTCTGGCAGGGAGGTTCAGAATCAGGAGAAAGCAACCAGCACTTACCATGGCCCCCTCACTTCTTCTTTGGGCAACTTCTCGCTGCAGTCGGGCCACGGCCAACTTCTCCCTGGAGAAACAAAAGCACATGGTTAGTTGACTATTCTTCTCAGGGTAGAGGTACACTGGCATGGCTTTGAAACATTCTTTTGAGGTCTCCAGAGGAACTCCTTCCTCGGTTTAGCTCACTTCCTTAACTAAACTTTCTATAAATATTTGAAGTAGTTCGTGCATTGTTTTCATTGAGTGTCATGACAGAGATTTTTTGTCTTGGATTTTATAAAAGCCAAATAAATGTTGAATGCTGCGTAAAAGCTTCCCTTTAAGTTCATTAACATATGTAATTTGTAAATAAATTTTCCATGGCTAAAACATTTCAGTTGTCCTTTCTGTATCAACTTTGCTTGTATATAATTATTTTTATTTCTTTTGTTGCTTTAAGCAGATCGTGAATTTTATTGTTTTTATTTATTTAATTTTTAAATTTTGCTTATTTTTGAGAGAGAGAGACAGAGAGACAGAGAGAGAGGGAGAAGGGCAGAGAAAGGGAGACAGAGAATCCAAAGCAGGCTCCAGGCTCTGATCTGTCAGCACAGAGCCCAACGCGGGGCTCAAACCCACGAACCATGAGATCATGACCTGAGCTGAAGTCAGACATTTAACCGACTGAGCCACCCAGGCACCCCTGATTGTGAATTTTAAAAGGCAAACAGATATAAATCTGTATCATTCTTGAAATAATAATAGAAAATCCTTTACAGACTTGCTACATCAATGTACCATGCTGAGTATTTTACCTGATCTTACATGAGTCTGACAACAATCTGATAATAGGCTTTATTATCCCAATTTATGTATTTGGAAACTGAGACTCAGACATGCTAAGTAACATACCAAGCTCCCAGCTGGTATGTAGCAGTATTAGGATCAAACTTCAGTTTAGTTTTGTTTTTTTTTTTTTTAATTTCACAAATCCTAAATAAAAATTTTGCTTATCATTGTTCAGAGCCTAGAAAATTTGTAAAATTTAAAAACCTTTTAGCATTCTTTATTTTACAGTGGGGTTTATCTAGTACCTGATTTCATTTACAAAAAAAATAAATATTCACTAAAATTTTAAGAATTCTTTGTAAGGAATTTTGGATAGCTTTTTAATTCTTAAAAAAAATAAAAAATAAATAAATAATAATAAATTTTTAAAAAACAGTATATAGACAAAGTAGGGACAAGTGAACATTCTAGTAATCTTCCAATCTTAATTTTAGCAAGGATTTTCCCTGAAATCCTTCTACTGCTATCAAGATGTGAAAACACTTGTGTGATATTTCATCCCTCAATCTTCCCCCTACACAGGATCACAGGACCGGCAATTTGCAAACAGCAAAAACAGCAAGGGAACAACTGGATGCCCAGCTGAGTGAGAGAACGACTCCTGTCCTAACCGCTTGGGTCTTTGAAGTGCCAACAAGGCATGTGCTTTACTCTGGTTACAGTTGAGTACATTTTTTAGTAGGGATAGTTCTATTTGAATTAGTGCCTACAGAGACAGATTACAAGGAATAAAACTAGAATCAGGAGACTTCTGAGGGGACAAAGTTTTGGGAGCCTGGGGCAGGACCCATGCATAGGTCCTGTGAGAGAGGGCAACGAAGTCAAGAGGACGAAGCCCAGAAGAGATTAAGTTATGCACCTCTCTTTGGGAGGCAAGCAAGGCAGAGATTATACATGTGTTCTCTGACCCAAGTCCTAATGATCAGATGAAAAGAACAAAGAACTGAAAAAGAAAAATATGACTGACTCCTGGTTTAATATGAAAAATAAACACATGGTAAATATAAAGACAAGGAAACTGGAGAAGAACATACCCTATACTCTAGGATTGAGCAATTCCACCCTGGGATATAAGCCCAACAGAAATGCATATGTATGTTCAGTAAAAGACATGTACTAGCATGTTCATAAATGCATTATTTGTTATCACCTTAAGCTCAAAATGCATACCCTATTAACAACAGAATGGATAAACTACAACATAATTATATATGGGGATACCAGAAAGTACTGAGAAGGCTAACCACAATACCATATGGAATACCACAAACATATGAAAGAAATAAACACAGAAAAGTATACAGTTTATGATTCCATTTATATAAAGTCCAAAGATAGGCCAATTAGGCCAGAAAAATAAAAGATGTGAATGTCAAAAAACGAAAAGGTAAAAAACCGTCTCTAGTCACAGATGACAGTTTTCTAAGTAGAAAATACTATAGAATTTTCAAAACAACCTAACAACTAGTAAGTGAATTTGGCAAAGTCACAGGATAAAAGCGAATACGCAAAAATCAATTGTGTTTTTACATACTAGCATCAAACAAGTGGAACATTTACTTTAAAATTTTCATTTATGGGGCACCTGGGTGGCTCAATCAGTTGAGTATCCAACTCTTGATTTCAGCTCAGGTCATGATCTCACAGTTCATGAGACTGAGCCCCTAGTCAGGTTCTGTGCTGCAGTGCAGAGCCTGCTTGGGATTCTCTCTCTCCCTCTCTCTCTCTGTCTTTCCCCTGCTCATGCCATCTCTCAAAATAAATGAATAAATATTTTTAAAAACTATTTGTACTAGGGTCAAAACAAAATACTTAGGGAATAAATCTACTAAAGATTTGTCATACTACTACAGTGAAAACTATAAAAATAAACTCAGAACAATTAAAGGAGACCACACACACACACACACACACACACTCACACACTCTGCAGATCCAGATCTCTTGAAAGGGTCTTGGAAACACTCAGCATCCCAGGACCATGCATCAAGAGCTTAATCTAGAATATATAGAATTAGAAATGGAAGAACGGTTTGGAAAATTTCCTGGAAAATTTTCCAATCCTTATTCCTCATTGCTGAATCTTCAGCGAAAGATTTAATATATATAACAGCATGTTAATTTTCTACAAGAGCAGTTTAGCATAAAGAAGTCATTCTTAGAAACAGAGCAAGAGTCTAGCTTAGCACAATCATCCTACTAAATGACAAAAGAGCTCTCACACAGTTTAAAGGTTAGGAACATCACTGTTTTATTCTTAAAAGAATTTGCTTTTATAACACTATTAGGAATTGTCACACAGTATAGGTGCATGTCAAATCTTATAAAATTCCATTTGTAAGAAAAATTTAGTGGTTTAGCCATTACATAGTTTTTAAAAAGGAAAATATTAATACACCATGAATTTTATACTCTGCCCATATAGTATATTTTTAGTCATTTAATAAACAGTGAGTGAATCAATGTGAAAGGCTCGTGTTTGAAGTAGCAGCATGTTAGCCATTCAATTCAATGAAACACCAAAATATGTAGAACCTGGAAACATCAGCTTAGGCCTGACCTACCACAATGTGAATACAGATGCCCCGATTTCCAACAGGCATATGGAAATGCATGACGCAAACTTGGAGAATCTCAATGTAATCTGAGTCACAGAAAAGACCATCCCCATCCTGAGCCCTGCAAGCTAGTCCTCTTTACTTAAAAGTTGTAAAATTGGGTAAGTCTAGTTACTTGGGAGAGACCCTGATTCAAAGTCGTTAGGTAGTGAGTGAGCAGAATTCTCAGGAACAGCAAATACAACTGTCTCTTTAAGACCATACTCTATAACTGGTTTAAATCATTGATTCAGGAAATGCAATACACATAATGTCATGGAGCATGAATCTCTAAGGCTTGCAAGTAACAGCTCAGGGTTTTCTATGATGTAGGTGGACAAGAACAGTGCCATCTAGGTCCCACTATAGCAAAGCACCCCCATTTTGACCTATTTAATGTAGTAAGTTTATGAACCCTATATCCTTTTAAAATAGTGTCAAGGCCACAAAACAAACAATGATTACTTTCTTGAAGTTCAGAACTTTCTATCTCCCAAATCTTTCATATCTTTGGTATTTCATGTATTGGCAGGGTTTTTGTTTTTAGTAGGGATTATATTTTATTTTCATATGAAGGAGCTTTCATTCTTTATAAAATTTAAGGAAGTGATAGAGTCATTGATGGGTGAAAGCATCTATGGTGAAATTCTCAGCATTTCTATATGTTCACATTTCCGGGCTCAAATTATCAACTTAGTCAAAGTATTAAAAATAAATGGGTCTGCTTTTTTACAGCCATCTCATTTGCCCTTGGGTTCAGCAGTCCCTTGGCAAACCATATCTTTAAACCCCCAAGGTCCCAATATATGTGTGAAACCAAATGGGACCAGCATCTTTTTCATGCAAATTAAGCGTTCTTAAAAACAGCTTTGTTTAAAAAATAAAGAAAGAATCCTTGACTTGCATGCTACCCAAGGCATATTAAACACAGTCACATACACATACACTCTTGCTCCTATTTGAGGACCTTAGCTCATCTGCTGGAAACAGACAACTGTGCTTTTGCAATGCATTGCTGTTTTGTTTTGTGTTTGTAGCAAAGCCAGTAGCTCATTATGAAGGGGGTATTGACTTTATGATTGCAAAACAAATGCCCAGGGATATTTTTATTGAGAGCTGTGGATTCTTCTTTACAGAATAGGGATAAAAGAAGGATATAAAGAAAATACACACAATGAAACAAAAGAGACCACAAGCACTTCTCTTTCAGATAAATGCAAAGAGAATTTTTCTCTCCAAAAAAGATGAAACAGAACTATTTCACTTATTCCATTTTTTACCCAAAAGGTGAATTAGTACCAGGTTTCTGAAGTCTGTCAGTATAGCCCCAGATAATTTTAACTAAAGATAATAATGGCAACAGCAAAATTATTTATGTGAACCTTGGAACTTCACAATACCACTAATACGAATGCAATTTAAGTCCATGGGAAGACGGTCCTCCATGAAGACAACAGGATGGTGGCATTTGTAAAATCCAGGAAAGACCTGCAAGGTCTGCATGGTTGGAAACACAGCAGCTTGCAAAGAATATATTCGGTTCGTGATGTGTGGAGACGGCAAACTGAAGGGCACTGCTGAGCCATCTGTTGCATGAGTGCTGAAGACAGGACTGTCTGGAGACAAATCAATGTTCTATTGC